TGAGGACAATAGTCCGATTAATGTAAATAGTGCACATAATACCTCATCTCAGAAATATAGACACATACCGAATATAAATAGTGTTTAATCATCCGGTTCAAAAATATGCCACCGAGGTCTCCACCGGGGTGAAACCCGGTATTGAATCTTTCTTTATAGCACGGAAATACCAAGTGAAACCACGACAATCTCCTTGGTCCTCACCTGCCTGCTCATCCGCTTTAGCCCGCAGGAATTAATTTTTCCGTCTGTACCAGAGCGACAGGTCTGATTGTAACAGATGTTTCTTTGTCACTGTTCGTAATGAGTGCAAGTTTGTCTTCAAAAAAGCGTAGCTAGAATGAAACAACGTATAGCCACTCACAAGTTTAATTCTAGAGACTACTGAAGGATCTGCGAAAGTGTGCTGTACAATTGCAAATGCCCAGTCCTTCTTCTCTTCAGTCAAATGAAACACTGATATCTACTGAAGAGAAAATAGAATGCTTTGCTCGGAACTTCTCTTCCAATTCGGCACTCGACTCATCTGTAGTATCACTCACAAGTTTCGTCATAGAACGGAGGCTCTACTGAGTGGTACGTACGTAAACCTGTCACTGATTTCATATCTCATTCCTAAATTAGGTCCCAACAAGGCAAGCTGGTGTGTGGGGATCCCTGCCCTCGCCCTAAAGAAATGTCCTCCTGTGATGGCTCCTGTTCTCCCTAAACTTTACAACAATTGTTTTGTTGCTTCCTGCTTTCCAGCTTATTGGAAGTCCTCCTCTGTAGTTCCTGTTTTTAAGAACTATGGAAAACACTCTGGCCACTCATAGTATCACTCTATTATTCTCTTACAGCTTTTCGGAAAAGTACTTGAGGCTCTAATCAATGCCGAATTGGTTAAACATCTTACTTCGCACGACCTCCTTTGGAACGAACAATATCGCTTCTGTTTCGCCAGGTCTATCATCGACGTGTTAATTTGTCTATCAAGATCTAGATAAGAATGTCGAAGTTCGGGATGTGGCTCTAGATATCACGAAGACGTTCGACAGGGTTTGGAAATATGGCTGTCTACGCAAGCTCTAGGGCTACGTGGTCATGGGATTAATATTTTGTTTAATCCAATCGTTCCTAAGAAACTGTGAATGTGAAGGACATTCTGAACGGGCTTCTTTCCAGAAACCTTAATAAAAATGTAGGGCCCCCCATGGATTTATCCTGAACCTATGCTTTTTCTGATCTTCATCAATGATCTCTTCGACGTCATCCATTTCCAAGTAGTTATTTCTGCAGATGATACTACCATTTACTTCTGTCTCAATAGCAATTCCGACAGATCTGACAATGTAAACCTGGCTGTTGCTCTTGAAAAAAATGACCTCTAATCACTGGTTAACTAGGGCAGGAATTGGCTTTCATTTAATCACCACAGAGAACCTTTTCTGTCTGTCATCAGATGATGCCAAACTCCAGGAGAATAAAGTGCTACGGGTTCTAGTCCTCACATTTTCCCCTGACATGAAATGGTGTGAATATATAAAATCAAATGCTTCATCAACTGCAAGGAAAGTTTGTTCACTGTGTCGCTTCAGAAGATTTTTCGCGTCAGAATCCATGTTGCACATTGTTATATACCGTACCTATGAATACTAATGGGTATGTCCTAATACTCATAAATCCGTTGGACACTATTGAAAGTGTGGGTAATATGCTGTCTAAGTAGTCCACCACTCGAAGTGGTTTACCTTCTTCACGCCGCTGGCGAGTATTGTATTTTGTTGATGTTATAAAGATTACGATTTCATTTCCAACCTCCGTTTTAGTTATTCATCATTCAGTAATCTTTTTTAGGTTACAACAGTCAGTCTATCTATCTATCTATCTATCTATCTATCTATCTATCTATCTATCTATCTATCTATCTATCACAAACTGTTCATTATCTATCTATCTATCTATCTATCTATCTATCTATCTATCTATCTATCTATCTATCTATCACAGACTGTTCATTATCTATCTATCTATCTATCTATCTATCTATCTATCTATCTATCTATATCATTCTTTCTTTCAGTTCATATATTATTATTCCTCATTCAGTAAACTTTTTTAGGTTACAACAGTCAGTCTGTTCAATCTATCTATCTATCTATCTATCTATCTATGTCAGTGTCACCTAATTGAGAGCAAGCCTGATTTAGGTCAAACCTGTTTGGGTGTCCCGGGCAGTGCTTTGTGACCCTCCCTATCTTATCAACATTTGCTTTTTTTCTATCTATTTTTATATACATTTCAAATTAAACTAAGCATAACTAATTCACTATTTTCTGTCCATAATGTTGAATGTGTTAAAATTCTTCAACTTTTTAACAAGAAAAATCTCAAGTTGATATTAAAAAAATTGCCGCAAGAAATTGTTGATTTATTTAATGACATATTTATGACATGTCTCTAATTTGTATTCAGATCAGTCAATTAAGTGCCACACGTGATACACGCTTGGGCGATCATGTATCTTTCGATATTTGACTGACGAGGCAGAAGATTTTTCCCTCAGTAGGTTGCCATTTCTTTCTGCGGTAGATAGGGTGCCAATCAAGGCTAAACTAAAGAACTCAGTCTGTTCTGCTATTTAACCCATAGCTGGGTAAGAAGAGATGGATTCATATATTTCCAAAAAGTTATTTCTGCGTAAGTGAGTTTAAAGAACTCGACTAGGAATTCGAACTCGTCTCTCTGAGTTCGCACTCCGAGCCGATATCCATTACACCACAACGTGTATTTAGATAGACAGCATTTATTTTCAATTTTTCTAGTTGGATTATTCACCTATATTTTATGTGATCCATTATTATACATAATTAGGCCACAATAAAATTTGTATTTTTATATGAATATTAAATTAAGAAAACTGAGATGTAGTAGGGGGAAGTATCATAGATTGTGGGTGTGGGGTCTGCATCACGAGACCCTTGCACCGGCCCTAGATATAAAGTATGATCCAGTTTGTCGGTGAAGTTGCCGCAACACGAATGAGATAATTGGAAAAAGTTTAAAGAACGGAGATGGGCGAAGGTCGTGTGAAGAAGTGTAATTTCAGGAAATGACGAGACGGTCGGCGGTGTTTGCCGATTTACCAGGAAAGGGAAAAGGAAGAGAAGACGAAAAGATCCAAAATACGATTCAATTATGTGTGTTTATTGATACAACGTCGTTCTGCCTCTCACCTCCATGCCATATCCTTGTTATGCAAACGGACAGAAATCTGGAACCGATACATTTCTCTCCTTCACTCTTTCTCTTTGTTCGACTGAGAGAGACAGATAGAGAGTGAGAGAGAAAGAGAGAGGGTGTGAGAGAGAAAGAGAAGGGGGAAAGGTGGAATAGTTGCAAAAAAAAATGAGAGAAAGAGAGGAACAACCAGAGAAAAGATGAATATAAAGTAGATTATGTTGTAAATGGAAACTGTGGAGAGCCATGATCACTCACGTCTTGAAAGCATACAACACTCAATGTCTTTCTTTCCCAACCTATTATATCTATCTATCTATCTATCTATCTATCTATCTATCTATCTATATCAATGTCTTTCTTTTTTTTTTCTTTCTTTCTTTCTTTTTTTCTTTCTTTTCTTTCTTTTCTTTTCTTTCTTTCTTTCTCAATCTATCTATCTATCTATCTATCTATCTATCTATCTATCTATCTCAATGTCTTTCTTTTTATCTTTTTTTCTTTCTTTCTTTTTCTTTTCTTTCTTTTTTCTTTTTTTTCTTTCTTCTATCTATCTATCTATCTATCTATCTCAATCTATTTTTCTTTTTTTTTCTTTTTCTTTTCTCTATCTATCTATCTATCTATCTATCTATCTATCTATCTATCTCAATGTCTTTCTGTTTTCTTCCTTTTTTTATTTCTTTCTTTCTTATCTTATCTATCATCTATCTATCTATCTATCTATCTATCTATCTATCTCAATGTCTTTCTTTTTCTTCCTTTTTTCTTTCTCTTTCTTTTTATTCTATCTATCTATCTATCTATCTATCTATCTATCTATCTATCTCAATGTCTTTCTTTTTCTTTCTTTTTTCTTTCTTTTCTTTCTTTTCTTTCTTTCTTTCTTTCTATCATCTATCTATCTATCTATCTATCTATCTATCTATCTATCTATCTATCTCAATGTCTTTCTTTTTTTCTTTTTTTTTTTTCTTTCTTTCTATTATCTATTATCATCTATCTATCTATCTATCTCAATGTCTTTCTGTTTTCTTTATTTCTTTCTTTCTCAATCTATCTATCTATCTATCTATCTATCTATCTATCTATCTATCTATCTCAATGTCTTTCTTTTTTCTTCCTTTTTTCTTTCTTTCTTTCTTTTTTCTTTCTCAATCTATCTATCTATCTATCTATCTATCTATCTATCTATCTATCTATCTATCTATCTATCTCAATGTCTTTCTGTTTTCTTCCTTTTTTCTTTCTTTCTTTCTTTCTTTCTTTCTCAATCTATCTATCTATCTATCTATCTATCTATCTATCTATCTATCTATCTCAATGTCTTTCTTTTTTCTTCCTTTTTCTTTCTTTCTTTCTCAATCTATCTATCTATCTATCTATCTATCTCTGTCTTTCTGTTTTCTTTTTTTTCTTTATTTTTTCTTTCTTTCTATCTATTTATCTATCTTCTATCTATCTATCTATCTATCTATCTATCTATCTCAATGTCTTTCTTTTTTCTCCCTTTTTCTTTCTTTCTTTCTTTTTTTCTATCTATCTATCTATCTATCTATCTATCTATCTATCTATCTATCTATCTATCTATCTCAATGACTTTCTTTTTTCTTCCTTTTATCTTTCTTTCTTTCTTTCTTTCTCAATCTATCTATCTATCTAAGTTTGTTCATTATCTTTCTCAATCTCTTTTCTTTCTTCCTTTCTTTCACCTATTCTTATCGATCTATCTATCTCAATCTCTTTATTTCATCCTCAACATCATCTATCTATCTATCTAGCTAGCTAGCTAGCTATCTCGCTATCTAGCTATCTAGCTAGCTGTGTCTGTTAGCAAGATTAGAATAACAAACGAGGAAATGGAATATAAATATTTGCATATATATCAAATCCATATTTATTCATCTCCTGCACACACGCACAGACATATATAAATATATATATATATATATATATATATATATATATACACACACTCACCCTCTGTCTCTCTCTCTCTCTCTCTCTATATATATATATATATATGTATGTATATATATACAGTACACACCCTCTTTCTCTTTCTCTCTCTCCCTATATATATATATATATATATATATATATATATATATATATGACACGGTGAAAAAGATTTCGTGTGACGCGTTTTTATCCTTTAGACCATCATTGAATTAAGTTTATGTTTATGTTGATGCTAGTACACATTCGCTCGAACGAGAGGCGCTGGGAATTTTAAAATTTAAATTTAAATTTTTTTTTTTACATGTAATAATATATATAATCTAACCGATTTAATTTAGATTCTTTTTTCTCTCTTTTCATCAGAGTAGTCGCATATCCATATCAAATTCATGAAGAGGATGTTCAAAATTCATAATGATTCCTTAAAATACTTCCCACTATTTTTCGATTATCAGGTGCGTTAACATAACCAACAGAAGAAAATATTTTATATTAGCAACACTCTGGGATTTAGGAGAATACTATATTTCTAATTTAAATACAAGTGTATCGAAAACTGGTGAAATCATGCTGGAATCGGCTCTGATTATATGTAAGGACTATACATTTTAATTAAGCACTCTCTTTGTTTTTAACGAAATTTTCCAGCATCTTAGCATTTTGCTTAGCTTCTGGAAGGTATCTTTCGCTAGTCCGATATATGTTCGGATTTCGTGCCATATTTTCCATCCTATGTTAAAACACTTGCCAGATATTTAAACATCTGTATTTATTTGATGTTTACATCTTCAGTTTGTAACTCATAACTTGGACTTTCGCTTTTGTTGATGACCATATTTTTGGCTTCTTGATGATTAGTCCTTTAATCTGGCTTTCTTTTACTACGCTCTGTAGGAGGTCTCGTAGTTTTCTTTCCGTGTCAGCCAGGTACTCAGTGTCATCAGCGTATCTTACATTGTTAAGATTACGGCTTCTGATAAAACTGGTCAAAAAAAAAAAAAATTTGAAAAGGTGTCGAGACACCAAACATCTTTTTAGCTAATTTCAGGGCGCTGAATCTGAAAATGACCTTATTATTTGTTGGTTAGCTACCGTTTTTGCTGTATAGAAATGCCACATTTTTGGAAATACAGCATTTTTTCATTTGTTTTCTGTATATATGATATTGATCGATGGCAATATTTCTCAAAATAAAATCGTAAAAACCTCTCAATTTGAATTTAAACCAACAAATACTGGTCTGCTTATTGAGGAGCCTAAGTTTTTAAACAATATGCTCTCAATGTGCTTGATTTCTTTCCCTAATGAAGGGATGGGACAAATTTATGAAGATCAAACAGAAGATTTTAGGGTTTCATTTTTTGGGGTGTAACCTTAATCAGGTTTACTAAAGTTTATTACTGATAAATTTAAATTTTGGCGATAAATTGGAAAAATCAGTACTTCTATTTTAAAATGTTTGACTAAAAACACTTTTTTCTTTTAGAAAATAGTTTATTTCAGGTGGCTGACATAAATTGCTCGACCTGACTGAAAACTGATGGGTTTCGAAGACCTTTAGTAACTAAATTTTGCGATCAGCTAAGATCATAAATTGATCTTTTTTTCCCCCCCAAAATGAGCAATATCAGTACAACAAAATGGTAGCTAACTATGAAGAACGTTTTATGTAAACATATTTTAAAATGTGCCTCTGTGCGGCGAAATACGTTTTATTAATCATTTCACCTGAAGCAAGGCGGGAATGCCACTAGTACTCGGGGAGTTACAGAGAGTGAAGGTCAAAGAAAAAACTGGGTACATGGGAGACCGAGGAAAAGATAAAAGCTGAACGGGGTTCAAAAAGAGAAGATGGCGTTGCATTTTAATCTTTGAAGGTTGTAGTTATCAGGTAAGCAAGAAATCCGAAGGGAGTTCCACTGGTGAGAAGTGCGAAAAAAAAAAGCTTTTGGAGTAGAAGTGGCACTTACATTTACCAAATTCAACATTAAAAGGGTGAGACCTAGCTGCCAATCTAGTAGCACGCACTGCTTTACCCGGGTATTGAACTCACACTCTTTGAGTCCTGTCACTGGATCTAACTAACTTTATCCACCGTGCCATGTGTCCTTGATACATAGACAGATACTGAGTGTCTCATGTTATTAATCATGCTGTGGTTTAATGTGATGTGCTAATCGATATATCTACGAATTTCAAGATTGTGGGTCCGAATCTGGCCCGGAATATTTGTACTTTGCTCACGGAATCAGTCTGATTCCAAAATGGTATGATATGTTGGGCTACAGTCTCTAGCAGTGAAATTGAAAAAACGGACAATTTTATTTTGAAACACTGTAATTTGAAAACCATAATTTTTCAATTTGAACATGAGCTATTGAAAGTTAGCGAGTTATGTCCCTTTAATGGTTTTAATCAGTAGAAGCCAAGATGGTGGAATCCGAAAACAATCACAGTACTGAAAAATTGGGAATCCCAAATTTCAGGATTGTGGGTCCCAATCCGGCCCGGAATATTTGTAATTTGCTCACGGAGTCGGCCTGTTTCTAAAATGGTATAATTAATTTCCTAACGATTCATTATTTGATAATAAAGTGTCAGAAAATTATTTAGCCCGGATCGCCTGAAGATAACGAAAGTTTGAAACCAAGGGCGCATGATAGGCTGATCTAATTTTTAAAATTATATATATATATATATATATATATATATATATATATATATATATATATATAAAATATAACTTGATAATTAGTAGGATAATTCTAAGGAAGATATAAATCCAAACAGAGGTCAATGTAAGAACAGAACAAATATAATAATGAATAAAGAAAATAAAAATCCTAAAAAATCCATTCAGGTGATATTTTATTTCGTTGACTCAGAATTCCATCTCTTCAGACCAAATTTCACAAAATAATTGGAGTTCAATTCATTCAGACACAAGGAAAAATAAAGAAAAAAAAATGAAAACGGAAGAGAGAATCAGGAAAAAGTTTCAATGTTAAAAGAGGAAAGAAAAATGGGTAGAAAGACAGAGATTTCAATATAAGGTGTGTGATATAAAGATAGATAGGGGAAGGGAAAATAAAATATATTTTGGTCATCATGGCGACTGGCTTAACTCTTTTCTTTCCCTCTTTTACTCCTTTTTGATTTCCCCCTCCCCATTTTGTAATATTTGGTCCGAAGAGAAGGACTTCTGAGTCAACGAAATAAAATATCACCTTAATGGATTTTTATATATGTGTATATGTATGTGTGTGTATGTCTGCGTGCGTGTTTGTGTGTGTGTGTTTGTGTGTGTGTGTGTGCGTGTGTGTGTGCGTGTGTGTGTGTGTGTGTGTGCGTGTGTGTGTGTGTGTGTGTGTGCGTGTGTGTGTGTGTGTGTGTGTGTGTGTGTGCGTGTGTGTGTGTGTGTGTGGGTGTGTGTGCGTGTGCGTGTGCTGCGTGTGTGTGTGTGTGTGTGTGTGTGTGTGTGTGCGTGTGTGTGGGTGCGTGTGTGTGTGTGTGTGTGTGTGTGCGTGTGTGTGTGTGTGTGTGTGTGTGTGTGTGTGTGTGTGTGGGTGTGTGTGTGTTTGTGCGTGTGTGTGTGGGTGTGTGTGTGTGTGCGTGTGTGTGTGCGTGTGTGCGTGTGTGTGTGTGTGTGCGTGTGTGTGTGCGTGTGTGTGTGTGTGTGTGCGTGTGTGCGTGTGTGTGTGTGTGTGTGTGTGTGTGGGAGCTTGTTTCCGTGTGGCGGGCACCACAGAAATCAATTTAGCATGGTAATGTCGGTGTAATGCCTGAAAACTTATTCAAAATTACTTGAGGCATGAACCTGAAAGTCTTTATCTACCTGATAACGCCAAAGATTTTGTTTGCGCCCAAAAATAAAAAAAATGAAGATCGTCTAGCGTAGTTCTGTAAGATAAACAGTGTTTGTAATTATTCGGTGACCCTCAATTTTCACCTGTCGCTGTGTACGAGCGTTCTCCCAGTGCGGCCATGTACATTGATAGCCTATTGGGACTTAAAATCAACCCAGATCTCAAGTGGAACATACGATCCATCGCTGAAGATACTGCGAAAATGGTCGGTTCTCGGAACCGCTCCAGTAAGTACCTGACTCCACCTGTTAACCTCTATCTTTACAAGAGCCAGATCAGGCCCAAAACGGAACACTGCTGCCATATCTGTTCAGAAGCTGTGCAGCCATACCTTTCCAATCTCGATAGAGTCCAAAAGTGTCTCCGCGTCTTTGTGGGGGATGAATTATTTTCCATTCTACAACCCCTTCCCTCACAGACGAAACGACGCAAGCCTTTCTTTGTTACTCGTTATATCCCTTGAAAGTGTTCAGACAAAAGAACTACATTCTTTAGTTTCACCAGTTCTTATCTTCACCGCCATGCCACGCATATTGTAAGGAACATCCCTTCATATTCCATTGATGAGATGTAAGTTCCACTCGAGTAGGTTCTCCGGACGAACTGCTGCGTTGTGGAACCCGCTCGCAAGATGATGATTCACAGATAACTACAATCTTAACCTGTTCATGTCTAGGGTTAACCGTTATCTTCTACTCATATGCGCATAAATTGCGCTTCTTACTCTGTAACCTTCTATGTCGAATGACGCTTGGGCGTTGTATAGAGTGAAAATCATTGTAAAAACTGAAAATGTTAATTGATTCGCTTGTCTCCATGATTGTATGAATATCTACTGACGAGGATTGCAACTTTTCTTTTATTATGCAGTCTGTAGGCTCTCACAATTATCCAAAGAAAGGGTTTTACGTTTCAATCCTGCTCTATTTTTTTCAGTTATCCTATTTTTAATG